AGTAGGCCTATATGAAATAGTCATGCACACTTTCTGTCTAGGCCAGTGCATGCGTGTGCACGCGTGTGTGTAAAGAAAAAGGTGTTATGTAAGATGCAAGATCAAGTGGGTTTAAGTGCAGGAGAGAAGCTGCAATTCTCAAATTCTCATCTGAGCGCGGGCAGATTCTTTGGCCTAGAGCAGGGGTGTCAAACTCGCCCTAGGCTGAATCTGGGCAATAGGGCTCCTCCCAGGTCAGATCTGCAGGGCTGGCAGCAGCAGTAGAGGTCAGGTGGTGGGCCAGCTGCCCTGGTTGCCCTAAGGCCTGTGGAAGCACAGCCTTTCCTTGCCCTCCTGCTGCTAATGGCCACATCCAGTGGGGGCCCAAGTTCTGCAGCAGGCTCTGCCCTCTCCTGCTGATTCTCCAACTTCTGTAGCCCAGCAGCATGATGGAGCAGCTCAGTGGATTGGATGCAGCCTGTGTCTTTGATGCACCTGGTCTAGGGAAAGTCACTTAGCCTCTTGCATTTCAGTACCTGAAAAACTGGAATAAATATGCTGACCTTGCAAATGTGTTGTAAAGTTAGTGTTCGTACAAAGTTTGGAAGGAGTAAAACATTTTTAAATTATTTATGTGCATTGCATGCATACTCTCGTGGGTGATTAAATATTTAACTCCTTTTTAATGTCGAAGGTGTTTGTTCTCTCTGGTTTCAGTCCATAACAAATTGAGGATTTTGAAAAAGGTGCATTTGGTTCTGTAAACATCTACACGTATGCACATGTGCATGCGCACATGCCCTGCCCCACTTCCCCATGTTTTGCTTAAAAATAAGAACGTACACTCTGCTGGTAAATAGGGTTAAGTGCCTTTTCAACCAAAATTGTAGCACCGAAGGAATGAATTCCAGTTTGAATACTCCAGTTAGCTTCATCAATTTTCCTCCATTCTTCATAATTTTTTTGCCTAACTCCCAACACATGTCCTTGACAGGATTAAATGTTTATATTAGCGTGACTGGCTTTGCATGCTCTGAGGAGACAGTAGCAGGTGAGGTAAAGAAAAATAGACCAGTAGTGCAAACTCCTAAACCTCGGGTAAACTTGGCCACTCTGGTAGAGAGTAACCACTGGGATAGTAGGAAAAACTTGATCAATACAAGTTACACTAGGCAACATTTTGTCTGTCCATGTCCATCCCAGGATAGATCTTTAGCAGAAGACAAACCGGCTATTATCTGCTTCCCTTACAACTAGCAGTGAGGTGCAGGATAATTGCACATTTGTCCATTCCTTGTTTGTCTTTGTTATGAACAAGCATACTTACCTGTCAGATTTTCACCTGCATGAGGCTTCTGCGGCTAAGCTGTTTAACCACTTGAAAGACCTTGACTTCAAAAAGAGTATGCAACTCCCTCTGCAGTTATTTCTAAGGTAGCAGGTGTATTTCATATCATTGGCTGGGTGCTAGAAGTAGTCCCATTTGACATGGGAGTTGCACCTGTGTCCATGTAGAGAAAAAGATTATCTTTGTGTGTGTGCGCACAATATATCTATATCTATATATGGCACCTGTGAATAACCCTATCTTCTGTTGTGTTAACAGAAACCTTAACACTGTACTTTCTTGCATATCACAGGCCTGGGAATGATGTGTACCTTGTTTTGGGAAGAAAGAACAAAGATATTCCTAAATCATGGATGGATACAGTCTTCTCTTGTTTTAAGATTGGAAGAGATTGCAGATTAAGACTACATTATTCTGAGCAGAGGGGTGGGGTATGGAGTGGGCAAATTTGCTCTTTGTTGAATGTTGCAGATACCTTGTGAGGTTGATCATGGTGGTATTTTTTTCTCATTCTTGGAGGGTGTGGGGTCATGTACACTCCTAGGGACTTCAAAGGGGGAGGAGAAGCTGCAGCTGAGAACCAGGAAGCAGCTGTTCGTGTGCATGAGCCTGTGGTGATAGGAGTGGAGTTGCCCCGCTGTCACCCTGGATGAAGCAGGACTAAAGCTGGGGTGGTTGTGCTGAACTAGCATTGCTGCAAACTCATGCAGGCATAATAGTTACAGCCTAACAATGGCTGCCTGGTCCCAAAAACCAGGTCCCCCTCCCCTTCTGAAGCAGCTACAAATGTACATTTGTCCATACCAAGAATTAATCCAGAGTATTTAAACTCGGAAGGACATCCTAGCGGATAATCCTCACGTGCTTATTAGGGCATGACAAATGTATGATGTTTCCTGCCTGAAACCAAGTCAATGGTTAGGTCTAAATAAAGGTTTCAAGTTTCCTACTGTAGCCTTGCTAGACTGCTTGCAGCCTTTCTCTTCACCCCCCCCACCCCCATCCTCAACCTTCCCCATTCCTGCACTCAGCAAAAGATAATATTCATCTTCTGTGTGGCACTAGAACAGTGTCCCTGCTTAGCATGCCATGGATCTGAAAGACCAGCTGTTTCAGGATGATTAAAACGTGCTCCCCACTCCATTTCAAAAAGAGAGGTGAAGTTTTTGGATAGGTGGAAACAATGGAGTGGATTCAGCCTGCATTTTCTCTATAGCATTTTATATAACACTCATTTACCAGGCTGACACTTGTCTTTAATAAACCATCTGCATTGTCTGCTGTGGTTGATTAAAATTACAAGAAACTGTGTGTGTGCTGGCTCTTGCTTGAAGAGATAATATCTTTGAACTAAAAGGGAAAGGTAGTTCATTCAGGTCAAATTACTTCTTTTGTTAGATGACATTGTAGTAACCTTCGTTTGTATCGTAGGAAATAAGGGTTCAAGCAGAATGGTGTAATTAACGGTTCATTGCAACATAATGTTCAGTTGCTTAATTAGTCAAATACCTGGAGCATACCTCTGTATAAAATCAGAAATTTCAGTTCTGCAATAGCCCAAAGAGACTGTTGTTGTTAAATGGCCACTGGCTTTTTAAGTTTATCCTCAAAAACAATGAAGGGCAGCATGGTATCCATAGAGACTGCATGCAGTTTCCTCGTTAATCCTGTATACCCCTGGAATAGTTAGTAAATGACCACTTAGTTTTGAATTTCAGGAGTAAACCTTTTGTATAAACAGAATGTGATTTGGGTTTCAGTAATTGAGGGACTTTAAATATGTAAGTCAAAGAATCGAATGGGAAGGCGTATCGTGAAGCCCAGGTGTTCATTTGGGTTTGTATGTTGGGGTGGGGGGAGAAGGGGCACTTGTGGTCCTCTTTAGTTTGATTTGCTTGAAAGAACAAATATATTTGGCTGAATGATTCTCAGTCACGTAGAACGAATATACAGCTGGCTGTAAAATGCTTTGTCATCAAAATTTTATTTTGCAGGTATACTTAATGCTAAATATAAAACCTCTATGCTTGTTTTTGGGTGATGTTTCCAAAAAGCAAGAGTGGCCTTCGAGTGTGTGGTAGACTTAATTTTGTACCTAGAAGCAATAGGTAGGTGCTATGGTCTTGGGTTCCACTTATGGGCCCCTGCACATTGTAGGGTTAGGGCCTTTGTGATTAAGAGCTGGATCCACAGAAGGACATAATGCCTAAAATAGGATTTAGGTGGATTGTAGTCTGCTTAAATTTAAAGCTGTGATCCAAAATGCAGCAACTCAGCAGCTGTCTCCACCCGCGGGTGTCCAAATCCATTAGGCGTCTCGCAGCTTGACTTGAACGGTCCTTAGGTACCTGCAGTTCTGCCTTAGTGCATACCCAGGTTTATAACCTAATGCTCTCACCTCCTGGACAAGTGCTGTAATCGCTAGGCTGTTCTCTAATGCGGTGGCCATCTCCCCGAGTGCCTGTGCTTTCAAATGAGCCCTGGTCAGCTCTTCCAGAAAACGGATGTAGGCACATCCTGTTGGAAGGATTCTGGGCCCAGGAGCCCCTGTGGATAGGGCGGCTTCCGTGCCTCCTGCCTGGGTTCAGGCTGCACAGAGGGACCTGGCGAGCAGGGAGTGCTTCTTCGTGGTGTACCGAAGAGCGCTGTGGAAATAGTATAGACTTGCTTGTACTCTCCCTTGCAGTGTATAGAGTCAGTGCCTGGGCTTCCACTCAGTGGGGGACGTCTGAAGTTAAGCATTGCCACACTTAACTTTCTTGGCACATGAGTCTTTTGGATTTGAGTGTAAAGATGGCAACTCCTTATTGAATTGTACTTCTTCTTAGTATTGTGGAGCCCTTGAAGTTGGGGAGAGTTGGATTAGACTGTCACATCAGCAATGTCAATTCATCTCTGACTACAGAATTTTCTTTTTCTGGTGAAGACATGAAAAGCAGAAAGGACCCAGATTGATACACATATCTTTTCTCCAATCTCTCCATCCACCAATTAGTCTGAGTTGGTAGGACAGGCAACTTAGAATAAAGCTTTTGCCTTTTAAACATAAGAAATGTAATCTGATAGTCCGAAGATTGAATATAAATGAACTCCAGCAGCAGTCTGTAAATCTTCTTTTTATTATTATTATTACAGCCATGGTTTGGGTGGCTGTAGTAAGTTTCAGCTTTTTATAATAAATATTTCATTTTTTTTTCTTGCATGCCAGGGAAGGTAGAGCAGACGTTCAAAGAAAGCTCTGGAAATAAAGGCATAAAGAGACGGGAAGCCCTTCTTAACAGGTGCTTTAAGTTCAAAATGATTAATATGCAGCATAATTGATTATTTTACATTCCAAATATTGATAACCTTAAAGGAACACGGCTGTGTTTTTTTTAACCTACAAAAGCTTTATTGTCAAATGTGGCAGGCTGTTTTTTTTCAGAATTGATGAAACAGGAATCTGTAGGAATGCTATGAAAATGCATTTTTATAATTCTTTTTTTTTTTCCTCTTCCTTTTGAAGGTGACTTCCACGGCTATGCAGCTTTATGCAGTATAATGATGAATGGGAGTCTGTTGTTGTAAACATCCCCGACTGGAAGCTGTAAGAGAAATTCTAGCTTTCAGTCAGATGTTTGCTGCCACTGGCTACTCTCAACTACATCGGAAAGAAAAAAACAGGTATAAATATATGTAGTTCTTTTTTTTAATGACTTGTGCCTTTGGCTATGAGTCTTATCCTGGCATTGTGTAATTTGCTGTGGAGAGAAAGCAGACGGCATGGAAACGCGACCTGTAGCTTCAGCCTAGAATAAGAAGCCGTATCTTCTGGTATAAAGAGAAAAAGGTAATATTTACATTACAAAATGTGGAGATTACTGTCCCAGAACCTAAATTAGGGGGGGGGAAACAAATTTAGGAGCAGTGTAGTCTTTGGCAGTTGCCAGTGAAGGTCTGGATTTCTTTGTATTGTCAGCAAGTTCCTGTTCTGCTTATCAGCCTCCTGTTGCAGCCCCGAATCCAGCTTTTCAGCTCTTCATTTAAGTGTATCCGGCTGCTTGCACCCTGACAGCAAGGAAAAACCCAGAAGAGGGGTGTGTTGGGGAAGAGGGGGGTGGTTAAATGGTTAGCGAGAGCCTCTGCTTCCCTCCAGCACACTTACGGCTGGTAAAATGGGCAGACTGAAATAAAGGGACCAAGTCGTGTAACTAGGGGTGAGCAAGTGGGTCACAAGGCCTGGAGGCCAGCTCAAAGGGGGCACAAGAATGGAGGTGCAGCCAGAGTATAACACTTCCTAATTACACCTCTGAAGGGGCCTTAAAAGTCCTTGTCCTGACTGCAGAATTTCCCCCAGTTTTTGGCACTGTAGAAGACCCTTCCCTGCCTTCATTTTGCTGCTTCTGTTAACAAAGAAACCACAGCCAAAGAGGCTGTCATCACTTAGATGAGCCCTGAGGGCAGTCTAAGGAGGTCAGCATGCAAACGTTGATCAGGCTTAATGTTTAGAAAGCTTCAAGCCCCTGACACACCTAGCATGTACTGTACAATCACACTATCAGTGTATTGCTGCAATGGGTTTTGTTCCAGGTTTATGTCTGGAACTTTACCTTTCTGTCCATAAGTTCATAGTCGCAGTTAAATGGGGAGGCATGTCCAGACCCAATAGCAGCCAGGGTCCAGGTGGTCACAGAGATTTCTTTGCCCCCAACCTCCAGGCTGTGAGTTCAGTGCTGTGCCTGCACTGACGGCAGCTTGGATAGTCGCTGGAGGTAACTTCAGCTTTTTAACTTGCTGGCTAAGGTACACTATTGGTGCACTGTGGCACCATAGATGACTTCTTGATGACTGTTGTCATGAGAAACAAGATTTTAAAGTGCAGCCCTTGTTCATTAGATGCATGATGTTTGTTTTAATATTTTTCTTCTAAAATAAGATTTTAAATGCTGTGTTATTACCATGGTTGTCTAGTGCTATTCTGCGGATATTGTATTTACTGCTGTTTCTCTTGGGGCTGGAAGTGACCTTGGGAATCATCTAGTCCAAACCCCATACATGATTCTGTTTGCTGGATTATTAATGCATACTAATATGTAGTGTTTTACATGATTTTTTTCCTGACTTGGGGATAACAGTACATGTCCAATTTGTGGGTTTTCTTCATTTTGCCACTTCTTTTAACAATGACTTAAAGTGAGAATTTGTTTTCCTAGTCTGATATATTGACACATGCTGTATAAACAGCATGTTCCACTTCTCATATTGCTTCCTTTTGCAGTTTTGCATCCTCAGTGTTTTAGGACTGGGTAGCAGTTTCAAAATTGTTGGCAGTAATTTTGAATATAGGTCTAGGCCAAGATGAGAAAAAACTCTTCCATGAAATATATATTGACACTTCTGCATAATTGGGCCTTCATATTCTCTAAGGCAGTATGCTAATCTGTGCTTATGTAATAACTCCTTATAAAGTCCTTCTAAGTGTCTAGATAAGTGATTTTTTCAACAAGGGTGCCAGGGCACCCTGGAGTGCCATGAGATCCTTTGGAGAGTGCTATGAGGTGTGAGCTGATATGCAGGCTCAGGCTTGTTGCTGTCCTGTCCCCACTGCCCAACCCCTCTACAAAGAGGTAAGCACTGTAACAAAACCATTTTTAAAATGGCGTGCTTCCCAATTCATAAAAGCAATGGAAGGGTGCCTTAAATCTGGAAAGGTTGAGAACCACTGCTCTAGGTGTCTTAACATACCACTAAAACAACAAAAACCTGGTATCCTTGGAATGATTATTTCAATAAGAATTCAGTGGTCACTACAAAAACTGCTTTCCTACTCCTCCCACACTTTTGAGACAAAGGAAGTATTTTATACTGTTGTATGGTTTTTCTCCATCCAGTTGCCTGATTCCATAAAGGTGTTTTTTTTCCTGTTTGCTTGCTTTTCCAAACGTTATTAGTGTATTCTCTTACTCCACACGAATTTAAAGGGAGGATTTGATAGCATCCTTTAAGTACTTGCAGGGTGATTACAGAGAGGATGGAGCTAGACTGTTCTCAGTGGTGGCAGATGACAAAATGAGACGCAGTGGTCTTGAGTTACAGCAAGGGATGTTGTGGGAGGGCACCAGTGGTGCCTGCCACTTTCTGGACTAGATTAAGCAGTCAGCAGGTGTTTGATTACAGCGGCCATTTTAGACCTTTGGCTGCCTATATAAACAAGAGCAGTTTGCTGCTTGGAGGCAGGCAAGAAACATCGCTTGGCTGGGCTGCTGCATGGGAACATCTTGCAGGTAGAAGCCAGGAGGCTCTAGTCCTGGACATGACCTAAAACTGCACCTTGCCAGGAGTGGGTGATTTGGTGGGGCTCCCAGTTGCACAGGACCCCCAGGTAAATGCCAGGCCAGTTACCACCCCAGTGAAAGGTGGGTAGGGGCACCTTAAACCCAGCCCTCACCTTAGAGTGGTTATATGATCCATCTAATCCAGGGAAGGCCAGGTAATCTTCTTGACGCACCTGAGTCTGCTGGGCTGAGTGACTTTCTGGGCCAGGCATGCTTTGTGAAGCATCTGAGCCGGGAATGGGGGACCCCGATCCCTGAGTGCAGGCAGGAGACTTAGACCTAACCCAAAGGGCCCAACTGGTCAATGCTGGGGGCAGGGCCCAGCAGGGGTCAAAAGGACCAGGGGCCCACCATGAGGGATGCCCATATAGAGCAGAAAAGCTTGGGGTCCTGACTGGCCTGAGACAGGGCCGGGGCTTAAAGGGAAGCTGAAGGGGATGGTTGAGTTGGCTGCCTGAAGTGTCTTCTGCGAGGCTTGGTCTGTGGTATAGGGGTGGAACGGAGCCATGGATAGCCCCCCGCCCCTTCTTTCCCTCCCCCCATATCGGGATATATAATGGGCAGCCTCCCACCTTTTTATCTTGCTGGGATCCTTCGACCTTCCAAAGGATCCTTCGATCCTTCGATCCTTCGACCTGGGGAAGCTCTTTGAGAAGATCATCAAGGAGCACATTTGTGATGGGCCGGCATCCGAGATGATGCTCAGGGGCAATCAGCATGGATTTATTAGGGGGAGATCATGTCAGACCAACCTGATTGCCTTTTATGATCAGGTCACAAAGGCCATGGATGCAGGTGTCGCGGTGGATGTAGTCTTTCTGGACTTCAGCAAGGCCTTTGACACCGTCTCTCACCCCATCCTAATTAATAAACTAGGCGACTGTGGCATAGATGCCTACACGGTCAGATGGATTGCAGATTGGCTGAAGGGTCGCACTCAGAGGGTGGTGGTGGATGGATCATACTCGACTTGGGGGGAGGTGGGTAGTGGAGTCCCCCAGGGCTCGGTCCTGGGGCCTGCGCTGTTCAATTTCTTCATCAGCGATCTTGATGTTGGGGTGGAGAGCAACCTGTTTAAATTCGCTGATGACACCAAAATTTGGGGGGAGGTGAGCACGCTAGCAGGGAGAGAGAGATTGCAGAAGGATCTGGATAGGTTACAGGGGTGGGCAAACAGGAACAGGATGTGTTTCAATACGGACAAGTGCAGGGTGCTGCACTTGGGTAGTAGGAACCAGCAGCACACTTATACGATGGGGAGCTCCCTACTTGAGAGCACGGAGGCGGAAAGGGATCTTGGTGTCATTATTGACTCCAAGATGAACATGGGCCGACAATGCGAGGTCATGGTTGGCAGGGCTAACCGGACCTTGTCGTGCATCCACAGGTGCATCTCGAGTAGAGCCAGGGAGGTGATCCTCCCCCTCTATGCGACGCTGGTCAGGCCGCAGCTGGAGTATTGTGTCCAGTTCTGTGCGCCCCATTTCAGGAGGGATGTGGACAACATGGAGAGGGTCCAGAGGAGGGCCACCCGCATGATCCGGGGACAACAGGGCAGACCCTACAGTGAGAGACTGCGGGACTTGAACCTATTCAGCCTCCACAAGAGAAGGCTGAGGGGGGACCTGGTGACCGTCTATAAACTCACTAGGGGGAACCAGAAGGGTTTGGGGGAGACGCTGTTTCCCCTAGCCCCCGCTGGCATAACAAGGAGTAATGGGCACAAGTTGATGGAGAGGAGGTACAGATTGGACATCCGAAAAAACTACTTCACAGTCAGGGCGGCTAGGAGCTGGAACCAACTTCCAAGGGAGGTGGTGCTGGCCCCTACCCTGGGGATCTTTAAGAAGAGGCTGGATACTTACCTGGCTGGACTCATTTGAGTCCCGTTTTTGTTTTTAGGGTGAGTGGTTTTGTTTGTGTTTTTTGGGTTGTTCTCCCGCCCTGGCGGGGGGTCGGGCTAGAAGATCTATTAGGTCCCTTCCGACCCTGAAACTATGAAACTATGACCATAGCTGACTTCCTGCCCCTGGGGCAGGGGCTGGACTTGATGATCCTTGAGGTCCCTTCCAGCCCTAATGTTTATGAAATGTAATTCTTACATCAAGGCATGGCAGGCAAGTGAGGCGGGTGGCTGACCCGTAGACAGGGGCAGGCCGGTACTTGCACCAGGCATGAAAGTTTGTCCCTGTCACAGATATTTAGGTTACATATTAGGAAAAACTTTCTAACCAGGAGGGTAGTGAAGCACTGAAACAGGTTACCTAGAGGTGGTGGAATCTCCATCCTTGGTGGTTTTTAAGATCCAACTAGACAAAGCCCTGGCTGAGATGATCTAGCTGGGGATGGTCCTCCTTTGAGCAGGTGGTTGGACTAGATGTGACCTCCTGAGCTCCCTTCCAACCCTCGTTTTCTGATTCTACTTCTATCTGGAACAGTCTGTCTGTATTTTAGCTCTCCAGTTTTCTTTGAAAATAGTGATATTCATTTTGCTTTTCTGACTTACAAAGCAGTT